TTCTTTATGAATTCTGATACATGTTGGCTGGGGCTGTAGTCTTCTCAGGACTGTGACTACAACATTCAAGATGGATTTACTCACATGGCAGGTAGTTGGGTATGGTTTTTTGCCAAACAAACAGCTTGGGATGTTGGCTGATGGGCCTTGATACTATTCTACGTGGTTTCATCTAATAGTTTGGGTCCTAAGACAGATTATTCCAAGCACACTACCATATGCAGATATATTTTCTTCTCCACTTGGAGACTAGCAAGTAGTTCAAATAGTCTACTTTCCAGTCTCATTCCTTGCATAAAACGTGCAAACATCTCCTTTCAGAGAAAGCCTTTGTTTTTCAGAGACCTCAGCTGGGCCAGGATTTCAGACTAAAACTGACAAATGCAGTTACTTTCTCTAGTGATACGCGCTCATATAGATTTAGTGGTTATAAGATTGTAGCTCAGTTATAGTTCTTGTTTATCATTCTCAATGGCTTGGGTTCCATCTCCAACACTGAAAAAAAAATTGTAGCGTTGGAGTGATATGTCAGAGTAGAACATTTCATGCCATGTAACGGCACTATCATGAAGGAATAGGATGCATGAACTACCTTCTTCCACATTACTTAGGAGGTGTGGTAGTACACACTTTAATCTCAGCACCCATGAGGCTGAAGGGAGATTGGAGTAAGTTTGAGACCAGCTAGTGCTACATAGCAAAAAGGCTCTAAAACTCAACCAATCAACAAAAGTCAGTAATCAACGCTACTAACCTTTGAAGTTTTATTTAATAATAAAAATAATGTTTGTATAATCTGCCAGAGGGTTCAGGCCTGGAGAAAGCTAATTCCCATTCTCTTGACCAACCATAAACACATGTACTATGAACAACACTAAACAGACTCAGTAATTTCCTGTGCAGCAATAATTAAGGAAGAGACGGTCTTAAATTTGAGAGGGAATGAGAGGAAGACATGGGAACAGTTGCGAGGAAAAGGGGGTAGGAATGATGTAATTAAGAAATAACTTAAAAAATGTTTGCCTTTCTTACAAGAAGAAGCAAGTTAGAGACATGAGTTTTCAGCCTATGCTTTCATAGTGTTAAAGAATAGTTAAAATTCAAATCTGGAGGTATAGGAAGGTACACTGCCAATCACATAGGTTATACTTTCCTTGTAAGTTATCTTTTAACCTATATATTTACACAATGCCAAGAAGTTACAATTGGATGGATTGTTTTTCTGATAAAAGAAAATTCCATCTCATCTCTGTTCTCATATTTTTCTTTGTATGTAGGTAAGAGTTCATAGATCAATAATCTTGATTTCAGTATGAAATTACATTCTTTTTGCTTGAGTTCTTTTGAGTTATGCAAAAAGCTTCCTGTTCAGAATTCACCTTCCTTTCCTCTCTCTCTGTACTGGGGACTGAACCCAGGACCTCACACACGCTGGGAAAGCATTCTTTACTAATGTGGTATATATATTCCCAACTTTTTAAAAAATATTTTTATGATTTTGTGTGCATGAGTGTTTGACCTGCATGTATATGTCATATGCATGCCTGGTATCCACAGAGGTCAGAAGAGAGTATCTGATCCCCTGGAACTGGAGTTACAGATGGTTGTGAGTCCCCAGGGGGATGCTGGGAACTGAATCCCAGTCCTCTTAACAAATACTGGTAACAAGTGCTCCTAACTTCTGAGTCAACTTACCATCTCCTTTAACACATTTATAACTTTTTAGTTTCATTAAATTGTCTAGGTAGGCCTTGACTTTGAGATCATCAAGCCTTAGCTAGAATTATAGGCCCAAACACCACACCTAACTCCTCTCTCTTTTGTTTTCTGCTATGGTTTTGACGTATGCTTAAGATAAGGAAAATTATATATAAAAAACTTTGGACTTAATTCCAAGACATTGATATCAGATAGATACAAATTAAATGGCAACAAGAAACTAGAACTTGGCTTTGCAAAGGTAAGCTTACCTCCTGCTCCAATTTTCTCATCTCCCTCCATTTTCTCTCCTCCCTCCTCCCTCCCTTTTGAGTATGACACAGCTCAAACTGTACTATAGACTTAGCTCTTGATAGCTCATATGAAGGCTTTTAACTAGACAAACTTCCATTACATATAACTGATAAAAAACTGTTTTCATACCAAAATATCCACGATAGCAGAATTTTCCTCACTTCAAATGGTAGCAAGAGCTTTCAGGAAGAATTAAAGCAGATCACTTCAGTGTTTGATTTAATCCCCGTTAGTATAGGATAGAGCATTTACAATACACATTATATTAAGGAGCTTATGAATTCATGGGAGGCAGTTTAGCTCACGAAACATCCCTCAGGATGTTATACATCTAAACGGCAATCTACAGGGATTGTACTTTAACCAGGGCTGGGCTAGCCCCAGTTTCCTCTTCTGCTTTCATCGTGCTTCTTTTTGCAGTAAACCTCTGTAGAAAAGCAGGCAGTGACAAAAGTACTGGACATGACTTTTTAAAGTGTGTAATTTGTTTTGAAATAGTTAGATAGTTGTCTTGTATCTACTTTTGTTTCCCAGGTAAAAGAGCATTACCAACAATCTCAAAAATGCATGAGACACACACCTTAGCCTGGATCCTTGAGACCATGGGGCTATGACCATTTTCATTCTTGCCATCCTTCTGATTCTTTCATTGGAAGGAATTTATCAACAAATTATTAGTGCCTATAAACCAGATATAGTAACTTAAACTATCTGCCCAAACCCAAGGAAGCAAAATCTTACCAGATACTTTTGGTAGCCTGATCATGGCTCCCACATTCAAAATAGAAATTGGTAGAAGGACAAGTGAATGTTTTCTTGATCCTGCAGGGACATTTCACTCTCTTATTTCAGACTTACACAATGACATCTGAGGATTTCCCCTTCTCACCTCCCTTTTCAAGGATTTCAGCAACAGGAGGCCAGTAATGTTACCTCCAACCCTAATCAGCACAAATTAGCAATTCACAGAATTAGAAAAATGTCTGCTTTATCTTTGGAATTTGTAAATCCATTTTGACGCAACCTAATTTCTTTTAAGAAGCATCTTATTGAGTGCAACACTAAACACACTTCTTTGCTAGAATCTTTCCTGATGTTGCTTCTCTCAAGTATTCATGTGATAATTAAAACTGTCTATTTTCAAGGATGTTTCAAATAATTCCTTTTCCATGGAATCATTTCATTTCTCAAACCTATCTAAGGTTTTTGGATTCCTTCAGAGTGCTTTGTTTAGTTTAATCCAGTTTTTTTGCTTCACTTTCATTTTTAGGAACCCAGAAGTATTTTAGACACGTACTTTAAAGTTTTATCCCATAGAATAATAATAGGTTGAAAAACTACCTCCTCTATGCTCATTTTACTTTATATTAATGCACCAGGATTAAAACTTTGCCATTATCAGAGGCAGTGAAGAGAATGAGAGTATTAGACTACGACAATTTGTACTGGCTTCAAACTCTCATCTATCTATATATTTTTAAAGTATCTATAATGAGGCAAACTTAACTTTCACACTAAAAAATTGAGAGGAATTCCCTTTCCCAGTTCCAGAGCCCCGTGAATCCCGCCTTCACTGCTCCGAGCAGCTGTCTGAGGAATGAATCCTCTTCTCCTTAGAATGTGGGAGAGCTTTGCTGGGGTGGCAGCTGCAAAGCAAGGAATCCTCCCAGTCGCTGTCCCTCCCTCCAAGCCGGGCAGCTGCCAGGGCATCCCAGTGGAAATCTTTCCTAGTCAACGCCAGCGCCGCGGGCGGGCAGCAGCTGAGCTCAGCCAGGGGTGGAGACTGCTCCCTGGAGGCTCCAACGCCGCCACCTCAACGACTCCTAAGTCCCTCAGGTGTCCTTCTCCAAGTCCAACAAGAGGACGCCTTGACAACGTGGGGCGGGTTCCCTCCGCGCCCGGAGACCAGCCCTAGCTTAACAACACACTCCTCGCTCTCCCCGAAGCACAGCTTAGGCGAAGAGTGCGGGAAAAGCGCGCCGCTTGCTGCACTACCTGAGCAGCGCGCACCCGAGGCGCGCTCTCGCCCGCGTGGCCCCTCCAGGGAGCGCGTGCTCGGCTCCCCTGCTCACTCGCGGTTCCCGGGCCCGCCCGCACGTCCCCTACCAAGCCGCCTCCGCCTGGGCGCTCGCCCGCCCCACCACCCCGCGCGCTCGCGCACGCGCACGCCGCGCCCGGCGGCCCTCGGCGCTGTCATGGCGGCGAGGAGCAGCTTCAGTAGGCACGGGGGTAGTCCCGCGCGCCGTGGCCCGGCCATCAGTGGCAGTAGCATCCTCGGCCACCGCAGCAGCACGAGCCGCGGCGTCGCTAGTGCCTGCAGTAGCTGCTTTTGCAAGGGCTGAGCGCAGGGGTGGGGCGGCCTAGGAAACCATGGAGTTCTAGGCAGCCGCGGGCTCCCGGGGAGCGGACTAGGGAAACTTGAAGGCTGCGACCAGGTGCATTGACCTTTCTCTCCCCCGCCCCCTCGTCGCAGTGGCGTCGGGCCTGCCTTCCCGCCCCAGCACACACCTCCCTTCCTCTCCTCAGCGGAGCTCAGGTGCCCGGGCGAGGTGCTCCACTCCTCCCCCTGGGCCGAGCGCTGAGGAGAATCACCGCCCCCTTCCCCCGCCTTTTCCTGCCCTGGATCTCCGCCGCCACCTCCGTCTCGCTGCGCCCCGGCGGGGGTGAGGACGAGGCCGGAGTCTCTGGGTGAGGAGGAACTTTGGACCTCCGTGGTCGCGGGGGCCCCCTCCGCTGCCCGCGACAGTTCCCCGCGGTGCACCTGCCCTGCGCCCACCACCTGCGCGGGGTGGGGGAGGAGTGAACCTGCTCGCCGGCCTGGAGGACCCGCCTTCGGCGGAACCGGCTCTGGAGCCCGGGAGGAGCGGCCGGCTGGCCCTGGGGTGCCCTTAGTAACTTATTTGACAGACAGTAACTATTTCCCTCTCCTCCCTAAAAAATCCCACGACGGACCTACCCTATTTAACAAATGTTTAATCTTCCAATAGGGTTTGGCGTTGTTGTCAGCCTCCGGGAGTGAGATTGGACAAATATTCTCCAAGAGGAGGAGGGCGACGCCAAGGACTTTCCTGCTTTTGGGGTTTCTCCTCAAGTTGGAACAGAGACCCTTGTTGGTTTAGCGTTTGCGTGTGCTGTGCCTCCTCTCAGTGCAGCGACTGCTGGCTCAGGGTGACTCTGACTTGTCCTTTCTCGTGAACTAGTAATGGCTAGTGAAGACAATCGTGCCCCTTCCCGGCCACCAACAGGTGATGACGGGGGAGGTGGAGGGAAAGAAGAAACCCCTACAGAAGGGGGTGCTTTATCTCTGAAGCCGGGGCTCCCCATTAGGGGCATCAGAATGAAATTCGCCGTGCTCACCGGGTTGGTTGAAGTTGGAGAAGTGTCCAACAGGGATATTGTAGAAACTGTCTTTAACCTGGTAAGTAGATAAATATTTTATAAGCATATACTTTTCTCGGTGAGTTGGGGAACAAGACCGAAGCTGGGGTCATGTGCTTCACTCAAACTAATGGCTTTTTCCACGGATAGACACAAAATTCTACTTGACCTAAATGAAGCAATTACTTGTATTTCAGTTTAAAGAGAATTATGCAAAATTTGATGCTTCAAGTTTTGAATGAACATGAGCACTTTTGTGCTAATTAAGCAATTGTTGATATGGAAGTATATTTGTGTCTGTGTCTGTGTTTGTGGTCAAGTGTTCAGTGGAGAATTTGGCTGTAACTTTTTTCCTCTTGGAGTGTATGTTTAAGCTTGCATTTCTCTTTAATATTTTGAATAACTGACTTGTTTTTTTTTGGACTTGGGAGCTAATGTGAGTCTTTGCCTAAGTTACGTTTTGCTATAGTTAGTTTTAAACACAGAATTCATGTTCATAGTGCTGATATAGGCTAACTTACTGCAAATTAGTATTTTTAAAATTTTGGCTACTTTTAGTTTTAGAAATAACTAACCAAGGTTAAATTTTGGAGTGGGTTTAGGGTTATCTTGTGATAATTGAATGGCAATTTGAAAAAGGCCTGAGGCAGCCACAGTATGAGCTTAATGCTTTTGTAAATTTGTGTTTATCGTTGGAAGAATTTATCAAATTTGGTCATTGGAAGTTGTTGATTGTACTATGGAGGGCAATGAGTTATTTGAAGTGGTTATGAGATTCTTTTTCTCTCCATTCCATTTTTAGAAGTTACCTTTAGTGGAGCTCTTTAGACTTTAATTTTCTGTTGCTTGTCAACTTAAAAGAATGAAAAAGGAGTTTGGCTTTAAAATAATTTTCTCTCACTCATCCAGTGTTAGAATATAATACATGGTGCCAGATATAAATGTGCAGTAGTTGCAATAACTGTTTAGTAGCCATCATTTTTGCCTCTATATTTTCAAGATTAGACTTGCTTTATTTTAGGCACTTAATTATTTCCTGTATTAGGCCTTTACTGTTAGTCTGGTTATTTGCAGTACAGGTTCTAGAATGACAAGATAGGTATAGGTGAAATTCACTTACTTTTGAAGCATAAAACTTTTTTTTTTTGATTTTTTTCGAGACAGGGTTTCTCTGTGTAGCCCTGGCTGTCCTGGAACTCACTCTGTAGACCAGGCTGGCCTCGAACTCAGAAATCCCCCTGCCGCTGCCTCCCAAGTGCTGGTATTAAAGGTGTGCGCCACCACTGCCCGGTGTGCATAAAATTTTTAAACCATATTTTATTTCTTTATTAGATTATTGTATTGTGACTTTCAATATAAATACTGATAGACACATACATATACACACATTTCAAAACTAATTATTAAAATGTATATATTATTGAATATATGTATTAGAATAGTGTAGTGTAGTGAACTCTGGTATTCATCATCCAACTTCAATATTTTGGGAATCTTTTGTGTGTTTGAAACTTTCAACAGTGAGCTTCCAGATGAAATGCAGATTCATCTATTCCTTTACCTCAAAAACTGAATTTTTTAAAATTTAATTTTGGTTTCTCTTTCTGAACCTAATGTAGTTTGGATGGTGTACAGAAATCTTGTAGTGATATAGTCCATACTTAGTTGTTCCTGTGTGAAAATACAACATTTTTTGGCAGGACGATTCAGACTCCTATATTCTTTATAGTGTGTTATTTTGGGGTGGATGACCAAACAGGAATCACTTGCATTTTTATCATTAAAGAAAATGTAAATTCTTTAGTATAGTTTGTTGAAGGGTAGTCCTGATACAAATTTTAAGGTTAGATCTGTCATCGTTGCATGTTGACAGTGTAGAAACATGGAAAGACTGTCCCTTTTTACATCCTTTTCAGCAGCTTCCCCTCTTTTGAGTAGGGTGGGCAGAGTGGGTGAGAGGAGCCAATGGCAGTCCTTTCTTCTGTCATCATTTAGAGTACCTTTTATGATTAAAATATGGGCTCTAAGAAAATTATGAGAACCAAGGTGTTGATGATCCAGCTAGTTCATCTCACTGTTACTATTGCTGCATCTAGTATTTCTTAGTGGACATGGTGTGAGTTGTGATTCTGTTCCAAGGAAGAACATTGCTCTGTGCCTGGCAGTGGACCAAGTGGCCTTATTATTTAACTCTTCTCTAAATAACCTAATACATATGTGCCATTTCAAAGATTAGGAGAGCAAGATACTGAATAGTTAAATATATAGATTGCTACACTTTGGTTTTTAGGATTAGTCTTTTCAGGAATATATCTGTCACATGGATTGGTGTGTGGTTGTTTTCATCTCCAAGCAGGTATTTGTACCTTAGGCATTGCTTTCCTCAAGGACACAGAAGTCATTGGTCTTGATAAATATTCATGGCTGACCCTCTACCAGTGGATTTTACTCTTTTTTATCTAACTAAAAAAGCTTTTTACACTTAAAAAAAAAACCTTAAAAGTAAACACATTTTTTAGTTCACATCATTGGTTTCTCATTCAGTCTGTGGAGAGAATTGATTAACTTTTTTCTTGTATGTATGTATGTTTGCATGTATGTGTGCATGCATATATGTATGTATGTATTATGTATTTGTGCACTACTATATGTATGTGTGTATTTATGTATTTGTTTACTAGTGTATGTATGTGTGTGTATTTAAGTATTTGTGCACCAGTGTATGTATGTGTGTAGGCCAGAGTTTGATGTCCAGTGTTGTCCTCAGTCACTCTCTACCTTATTTACTTATTTAACATATTTCCTTTATTGTTGTGTGTGAGCATGTATATGTAAGAGTGGGTGAGCATGCCAGGGACAGGTGTGGAAGTCAGAGGGCAGATTTTTGGGAGGTGGTCCTCTCCTTCCACTTCCACTTCTCTTACTGTTTGTATGCTCTGTGTAGTTTAGTCTAGCTGGCCCTCGCACTTTAGGGTAATTCTCATTTTGTCTCCTAGCTTGCTGAAGGAATGTTGGGATTACAGATATGAGTCAGGACATCTGGCTTTTTGTGGATTCTAGGGATCGAAATCAGATTGTCAGCCAGTGCTTATACCAGTTGAGCCATATGACTGGCCCCATTTTTTTTTTTTTTTTTTTTTAAAGACAGGGTTTCTCTGTGTAGACTAGGCTGGCCTCCAACTTAAGAGATCCTCCTGCCTCTGCCTCCTGAGTGCTGGGATTAAAGGTGTGCACCACCACTGCCCAATATCCATCCATCCATCCATATTTCTTTCTATCTGTTACTGAACTTGGAACTGGTGTATTCAACTAGAATGGCTGGCCAGCAAACTCCAGGAATCCTTATGTCTCTACCTTCTTAACACTGGAGTTCAGGTGCATGTCTTTCATGTTGGAGTTGGGGACTGAAGTCTAGTTGTCAAGCTTGCATGGCAGGTACATTGCTGACAAAAATATTACCCAATTCCATCTTTTTTTCT